GTGTGTGTGTGTGTGTGTGTGTGTGTTTGAGTGAAGTTCATGGAGGTCTGCTTAATGAAGTGACGGGTGAATAGAGCCCAGAACAGAGGATCACACACACACACACACACACAGACACACACACACACAGTCAAGCATGAAGTCTAGTCCCCTCTGCAGCCTGGAAACTAAAATGAAAACAATAAAAAAAAAATACAGTAAAAACAACAAAATTGTGAAATATTATTACAATTTTAAATACCTCTTTTCTATGTGAATACCTGTTAAACTGTCATTTATTTCTGTGATCTGCAGCTGAATTTTCAGCATCATTACTCCAGTCTTCAGTGTCACATGATCTTCAGAAATCATTCTAATATGCTGATTTGCTGCTCAACAAACATTTCTGATTATTATCAATGTTGAAAACACGTTTTTGAGGTAATTGTGCTAAATATAACATTGAACCCATGACAAAAACCCCAGAATGCACCTGTCTGGCTTTCATTGCGTGTGTGTGGTTTTTCTGGTTTATTCCGCATGTTTTTGTGAACAGGAAAAGGTCATTTATTCATTTCCAGAGCAGCTAATGCCCAGCATGCATCTGTGCTGTTTCTGTGAGAGCGAGAGCTGACCTTTAACTGGAATAGAGGCACAGATTAGCTTAAAAACCTTTCAGTCTGACTGCAAATCAAAAGCCGTTGAGACTCGTTCCAGCGCTGCTGCTGACGCGACGCACACATCTAAATGAGTCTGTGTTTAAGATTCAGAAATATGAAGAGTAAAATGTGCCATTGAATGCTTGACTCACAGAGAGACGCTGTGTGAGAGAAACTACACACATATTTATAAACCAGGGAATAAATCTAAATTAATCATGACAGCATGAGAACTTTATATTTAATGAGGAATATTATATATAAAACATTCCCAAAAAGATCTTCAGTGTTTTAAGACAGATATTGTGATTTAATTTGTTCAAAATGTGATGTAAAATCTAGTGTATATTTTTATTTGCACCAGATGATTTCAATTCTCTGATTTGCATGCAAAAAATATATAATTATTGACTAGATTTGCCTTTAATGCAACACTTTCTCCTCCATTACATTATGCAATCATTTGCAAAGTGAAAACCATGAATTCATTACTAAATGTGTAATTAAACTCACATGTAATATCATTATATCAAATTAATTATAGTATTTTCCAAAAAAAAAAGCAATATTACCTGCAAAGGCATTTAACAAGTTCACAAACATTTTCAAAAATATTTAACTAAATGTGTAATTAAACTCACATGTAATATCATTATATCAAATTAATTATAGTATTTTCCAAAAAAAAAAAGCAATATTACCTGCAAAGGCATTTAACAAGTTCACAAACATTTTAAAAAATATTTTAAAAAAAATCTCCAGAATATGAAAAAAAACAACAATTAACAAGTGCACAAAAACATACAAAAATCTCCAAAATATCTCAATATCTGCTAATATTGCCGAAAAATATCCAGTGATGTAAGACAAAATGCCAGACACTTGTGATTTAATTTGTTTAAATTACAATGTAAAATCGAGTGTACATTTTTATCTGCATCATTTGATCTGTTTCCATTTTCTGGTTTGCATGCAGGAACTAAAAACAAAATGTAATTATTGACTAGATTTTCATTTAATGTAATACTTTTTCCTAAATTTACCATTTGCAAAGTGGAAACCATAAGTTTATTACTAAATTCATAATTAAATTCATTAAATATGATATCAGTTATACTATTCTCCAAAAAATGTCTCTTCAACAAAACACATGATTTGAGGAATCAAGGACGAGTTACATGCTTAATTTTAATACCCAGTGTTAGTAAACCTAGCTATGAGGAACAGTAACAGTGAACAGCACTAATTAGGACTGATGATGTATTGATCAGCGCTGATATAAACATCTGGATGTTTCTGAACATCTCATTGTAAAAGATCATCTCAAGGAAAGAGCAAAGACTGAAATGCCACAAGACAGTCGTGGCGTTACACACTCGATAACTGTGTGTGTGTGTGTGACGGATCGCTTTCACTGACCCCTGCAGTCCTGTACCCTGCTGAGGTCACTGCTGCCACGGTAACATTACACTGACCAGCAACCGTCACCATGGCAACCATTCCCAGGGGCCACTGCTTGCCTCCCATCAACGGCCGATAAGAGTCAGAGACACACACACACACACAGTATTCTATATACTGTAGGTGACACTGGCTCTGTTATAAACCCTAATGAGCAGTCTACTGCCTCCACAGTCAGCTGTCTTCTAAGAGCACATCTTAACTGAAATTGCTGATTTGTAATACATATTTCACAATCATGCTGCCAACCTTTCAGATGTTTTTAGTTGATTGTCTATTAGCTTTAAGATCATCTAAAGTAACGATCAAAAGTTTGGAATAATTAACATTTTTAATGTTTTAATGAAAGAAGTTTCTTCTGCTCACCAAGGCTGCATTTATTTGATAAAAAATACAGTAAAATTTGTTAAATATTATTATGATTTAAAATAGCTGTTTTCTATGTGAATATATTTTATAATGTAATTTATTTCTGTGATGCGCAGCTGTATTTTCAGCATCATTACTCCAGTCTTCAGTGTCACATGATCTTCAGAAATCATTCTAATATACTGATTTGCTGCTCGAGAAACATTTCTGATTATTATCAATGTTAAAAACAGTTGTGCTGCCCAATATTTCTGTGGTAGCCGTCAAAAGAACAGCATTTATTTTAAATAGAAATCTTTTGACATTATAAATGTCTTTACTGTCACTTTTGATCAATTTATGTGCCCTTTTTGAATAAAAGTATTAATTTCTTTGAAAAAAAATCTATTTATCATTCTATCTGTCCGTAAGGCCTATAAACCTTTAAACTTCAAGGATGTTTTTACTTTTTAATTTAAAATCTTTCAAAAACGGCTTGACAAGATTTATCTTGACATTTTCTAGTTAAAAAAATAACACTAATTTGAATCGATTCAAATTTGAATTAATTTGAATTCTACTTTTTAAAATTCAAATTCAAACCACAACTCCGCATCCTGGTTGCTTCCTCAATTCATATTTAACTCAAATTCTTGAATTTTAATTGGAATTTAAAAAGCATTCTGAATTGAATTCTGAATGGTGCACAATCTTATTCTCAACACTGGCAAAATGCATTTTTCTTTCAAGCTGATATACACATGTATAATGTATAGTATTTCTCTTATGGCAAGATATTGATGCTGCATCCTGAACCAAACAGATTTCTGTCCAATCAGACGCTCTCTAGAATGAGAATGCCCCGCCCCTAAAACCAACTGCCAATCACTAGCAAGCAACGGAACTAGATTCAAACATCCCGTTTCAATTAGAAAAACATGAAGACAGGGGGAAAACTGTGCTCAACTCTTTCTTAAAAAGCATAAAGTAGAAAAACAAAGAGCAGAGCGCACACCTGAGACTGAACTGATGAGAACAAACCCAAAGCAGAATGTTTGAGGAACATCAATACACCACAAACACTCCAACAAGACCTGCGGGAGGATCGAACTCGGGTTTGGAGCAAACAATCGAAGCGAGTGTGAACACATTTTGTGTTTTCACACTCCTCGTCTGCTCTGATGAGCCGCGGGTCTGAGACAGCCGGGTTTATCAGGTCTGTGCTGGTAAACGAAACTAAACAAAACATTTCCCATCGCTGAGATCCTGGAGAGAATCTCAAAGATTCATGATTCAGTCCAGAATCTCCTCCACCGTTCCCACGAGCAGCAGGGCTTGTGCTGCTTCATCCTTTAAAGATGCATCTGACTTCCTGTGTGTGCCAGGAAGTACAAAACACACTTTCACTGTAAGAACTTAGGGATGTACTGGGATGCTGGCAAGTTGTCACAGAAATAAATAAAAGTTTTTGTTTACATAATATATGTATCTGTACTGTGTATAAGTGTGTGTATGTGTGTGTGTATATATAATTTTTTATTTATACATGTTTGTTTTATATTATAAAATGAATATTATAAATAAATAGATAAATAGTATAGAGAGAGAGAGATAAGAGATAATATATTGCTAAAGTTAATTAATACAAGTTATATTTAATGATTTAATCCCTGCCACGGTTTTTGTTGATTTGTATTGATGCTTTATAATACATATTGTGTGTGAAATGTTTTCTTTATTTGAACACTTGACGTGGCAGAAGCAGGGTCTGAGACAGCCGGGTTTATCAGGTCTGTGCTGGTAAACGAAACTAAACAAAACATTTCCCATCGCTGAGATCCTGGAGAGAATCTCAAAGATTCATGATTCAGTCCAGAATCTCCTCCACCGTTCCCACGAGCAGCAGGGCTTGTGCTGCTTCATCCTTTAAAGATGCATCTGACTTCCTGTGTGTGCCAGGAAGTACAAAACACACTTTCACTGTAAGAACTTAGGGATGTACTGGGATGCTGGCAAGTTGTCACAGAAATAAATAAAAGTTTTTGTTTACATAATATATGTATCTGTACTGTGTATAAGTGTGTGTATGTGTGTGTGTATATATAATTTTTTATTTATACATGTTTGTTTTATATTATAAAATGAATATTATAAATAAATAGATAAATAGTATAGAGAGAGAGAGATAAGAGATAATATATTGCTAAAGTTAATTAATACAAGTTATATTTAATGATTTAATCCCTGCCACGGTTTTTGTTGATTTGTATTGATGCTTTATAATACATATTGTGTGTGAAATGTTTTCTTTATTTGAACACTTGACGTGGCAGAAGCATGACACTTACGAGAGCTGACCGCGTCCACATACTGCGGCAGATACGGCGCCCACATGTCAATGGTGTCCTTCCGGCCCGACTGACCGATCCGCCGCAGTTCAGCCAACAGCAGCGCCTGGGCCGCCTCTCGAACCTGCAGCACACACACACACACACACGCGTCAGGTTTACACACCGACACCGCAGAGCTCTGCACACCACAGGCCGCTGAGATGAAGCCACAAATAAAGCTCACGCCTGAAAGCAGCCGGAGAAGCCATTGAGAGACGGAGCGTGTCTTTGTCCCGCGGGGTTAGCAGGTGCTCGAGCTGCCAGATATGAATGAAAGCCAATGCGAGAGACACAGAGAGCGACCCTCCGAGAAAAAGGATTAAGGATGCTTAACAGAGCGTCTCTTTCTTTTCTTTCTCTGTCTGTCTTTCTTCATTTCTCTCTCAGTGTGGCGTACGACACCTCTGCAGTCACGCACGTCTCACACACACACACACACACACACACACACACAAGGACACACGGACACACGGACACACACACACACACACACACACACACACACACACACAAGGACACACGGACACACGGACACACACGCTCGGACACACACACACACTCGGACACACAGACACACTCAGACACACACACACACACACACACTTGTGATCAGTCTAAGTAGCAGTAATCAAGCAGCGAGTGGAGATTATGGAAGATCAATGCAACAGCAGATAGACTAATCCATGACCAGGAGGAATGGACAGATTCCATCTCATGTAGAGTTCACTCTGACATTAACACCAGGAGTGACAGATAAATGAACAAATGATGGGCAGGTGCATAAAACCACAGTCACAGTGAGGACTCACTGATGGACACACACTGAGACCCACACACACACACACATACACACACACACACACACAGACACACACGGACACACACAGACACACACACACACAGACACACAAACACACAAACACAGAGCTTGGTGCAGTAAGAAAAGCGCTTCTCACAAAACAAAAGACTTCTGCTAAATTATAAATAAAACATATTTACTTTTAACATTATTATAAAAGTGATTATGTTACACGATTATGTAAAAATAATAATTAAAGACACAATATCAGTTGTGTTGGACAGTGACAAACTAACACTAGGGTTATTATAGAATTTTACACAAAACTAGAACCACAAAAAGCATTTTTGTTACTTAAAAATAAACATTAACTGATATTTAAAACAAAAAAAAAACTTATTTTAATTTTAAACTGCAATATCATTCATATTAATAGCAATTTTCATATTATATTAATTTTAATATTATAAATGAGAATAATTATGTAAAAATAAAATTAAACATTGTAACATTTTAAAAAAGAATAATTTAAATTTTACATTTAAAAATGTTTAAAAAAAAAAAAATAATAAATAAAAATAAGCCAACCATACATTTTCATTACTTGAAATAAAATAAAATGGTTAAAAAATAACTTATTTTATTTAAGCTAGCTGTCAAAGCAACATTCTTATTTTTATTTTGTTTAAAAAAATACATAAAAATTACTAACACTTTAAATAAAATTAAAATGAAACTCAAACTCAAAATATAAAAAAATATATTAAAAAAAACTAATAGTATCTTAATATTAAAAATAATACTGCTACAAACTTTAACCAACTACAATTTCAGTAGTTAAAAAGTGTAGCTTTTCTAGTCATTTTCTTGTGATTACTAGAACTTTTCCAGTAATGATATGATATTCTATTTAAATGATGTTAAAAAGAAAGAAACTCTTGGGCAAAATAGTACTTAAATGCTACTGTTAATCAATACATTTTTTATTTTCAATGTTGAGTTGAATTGTGATGTTTGTGCAATGTGTTTGTGTAAGAGAATATATATATATATATATATATATATATATATTCTCTTGCAAAACATCTCTTGTGTGTGTCAAATTATGTGACCAAACATTACTTTACAGAGAGATTATAACCTACTAGCTAAAGTCTCGACTAATCAAACTCTGCCTATTTCAGTTCAAAATCGTTGAGGAAAAATTAAGTCTCAAAAAAGGATGTATATCAAAGAGAATATATATATATATATATATATATATTCTCTTGCAAAACATCTCTTGTGTGTGTCAAATTATGTGACCAAACATTACTTTACAGAGAGATTATAACCTACTAGCTAAAGTCTCGACTAGTCAAACTCTGCCTATTTCAGTTCAAAATCGTTGAGGAAAAATTAAGTCTCAAAAAAGGATGTATATCAATTAAATGAAAGCATATAATTATTGAAATCTCAATAAGTTGAATACCTCCAGGCAGCGGTCCTGCCATCTGCGAGCCAACATCTCCAGCAGAGGAGGCCTGAACTTATCCAAACCCAGAAGATCCGGAAGCATGACACAATGCATGGCAGCCAGCTGACTCCAACCTACAGAAACACACACACACACACACACACACACACACACACACAAGCGCACAGGGTCAGAGAGACAGACCATCACCACCGTTCACAACACCCCTGCTGAATCACATCCTCACAGGAACCTGGAAAACCAAACGGCTCACAAACATCAGAGGAACATCAGCAACGCTCTCGATTCATGAGGGGAAATGAGCCACATCCAACAGAGAGTCACATATATCAGGAATATATGGAAGAGCTTTTGGAAAACAATGAGCTTGCAAACGTCAGTAATGCACATGAACACTTTCAGAGGAGAAAACTGATTCAGCTTCAAAGAAACTGGTTTAATTTCTTTATGAAACAACAAACTTACCTTTAAGAAAAATACATCAGCCCATCAGTTTATACAAAACTCATGTAATACACAGAAACACACAATTCATAATATAGACTGAATTTCTAAGATTGGAAAAAAGTGCAAAACAGAAACCCTGAAGTATTAATATAAAAGTATATAATGTAATGTAATATAATATAATCATATCATATCACATATTATATTACATTATAAACAGTTTGTGGAAAATTATACATTCAATAATTTACAGTGAACATGTTCGGAAATTACAATTGCTAATATTTCCATTACTGCATTTTCAAAAATGTAACTATTTCCATCTGTAATGAATTTTATATTTTAATTTTTCATGTCAAAATATTTTACTTTTTTTTCTAAAATGTTTTTAATTTTTTTAAGAAACATTAAAAATATTAATTAATTTCAGAAAAACAAATTTTTTAAACAAACATAAAACATGGTACAAATATTTAACATATTAACTAAAATAAATACTTAACATGATAATATAAAATAAATATTTAGCGTTTTATATGTATACTACGCCTATATACTTTATAAAAACTGCACTAATGATTTAATTTGTATTTATAAAGACGTTTATTAAAACCTGAGGAGAAATGTGTGTGTATAGATATAGAAATATATGTAAAATAAGCATGCAGTCCAAGACATTTACACACAGACAGACAGAGAAACGACTACAAGCACAAAGTACAGCAGAAGAGTGTAAGCGAATTGAACCTAGAGACAGAACCAATCACACAAACACAATAAACACACACAGGCACTGAGCGCCAGGCCCACAAGATGAACGGGAGAGAGAGCGAGCGAGAGAGCGCAGCTAAAGAAAAGGAGAGAGAGAGAGAAAGCGAGAGAGAGAGAGGCCTTTATTCAGAGAGAGAATACCTTCATTGACTGAGGGAGAGAGAGACACTCCTGAACCAGAAGACGGAGCAGCGATCGCAGCTTGCAAAGAGAGGAAAAGAGACGTGAAACAGAGAGAGAGAGAGAGATAGAGACAGAGAGAGAGACAGAGAAAGAGAGAGAAAGAGAGAGAGAGAGAGAGAGAGAGGGAGGGAGGCAGAGAGAGAGAGAGAGACAGAGAAAGACAGAGAAAGAAAGAGAAAGAAAGAGAAAGAAAGAAAGAAAGAAAGAGGCCTCCAGCAGTGTTAGAGGAATTGAGCGGCAGTTATTAAAGGAAAATAAACTGAATACATTGTTACAGAAATCACATGAACACAAGAAATCCACAGAAATTAAAATCTAAACACCATCAGAAACACACTGTTATTATGGTTATTAGTGTGAGTATAACAAAAACAATTCTAATTTTAAAATCCTTATTATTTACCATGGTAAACCACCAAAATATGACTGGGTAGGTGATACATAAAAGTCCATACAAATATATAAATATATATCCATATAAATATATATGCATATAAATGTATGAGAATAAATATTATATATATACAGTATCTCACAGAAGTGAGTACACCCCTCACATTTTTGTAAATATTTTATTATATCTTTTCATGTGACAACACTGAAGAAATGACACTTTGCTACAATGTAAAGTAGTGAGTGTACAGCTTGTATAACAGTGTAAATTTGCAGTCCCCTCAAAATAACTCAACACACAGCCATTAATATCTAAACAAAGATATAATAAAATATTTACAAAAATGTGAGGGGTGTACTCACTTCTGTGAGATACTGTATATATATATATATATATATATATATCAATAATAATAATATATAAAATAATATTAACATTAACGTTTAAGGCTATTTTCATTTTAATCACCCTTTTGTCTTCACTAGCTCATAATAAATATTCCTGCAGACATATGAATTTATAGAAGTACAAAGTCAAAAATATCATAGTTCATAAAGCAGCATTAAAAATAAATATTAAAAAGCTGTTTAAATAATTTCAGCTGTCAATTTCCCAAAACTTATTTAATGCAATAAATCAGTTATTATACTGTAGAATCATCGGACATTAATAAACATTAATAAGTAATTCTGTTATTATAGTAGTTTACCATGGTATTTAGTAGTATATGTAATAGTAAATGTTTTATAAAATAAGTGCAGAAACCTAGATAAAGATTGAAAAATATGATTAATTCAACAAAATCTGAATGAGATGAAGGTTTAAAAGAATTGTTTCGATGCAACCTTTTAAACTATTTATGCTATTATATATGTTTGTGATAAATCAAAATGAAAAAAAAAAAAAACTGTATTTCACTAAAATTTTCTGATGGTATTTCCATACAAGCCATTTCACTGCACCTGAAAAATTAATAATTATTCAAAAATAAAATAATAATCAGATTGCGATATTCTCCCTGACTGTCTCGAGCAGAAATGAGAAGAAACAGAAAATAAAATGTGACCCTGGAGCACAAAACCAGTCATAAGGGTCAATTTTTCGAAATTGAGATTTATACATCATCTGAAAGCTGAATAAATAAGCTTTCCATTGATGTATGGGTTTGTTAGGATCGGACAATATTTGGCCGAGATACAACTATTTGAAAATCTGGAATCTGAGGGTGCAAAAAAATCTAAATATTGAGAAATTCATCTTTAAAGTTGTCCAAATGAAGTTTTTAGCAATGCATATTACTAATCAAAAATGAAGTTTTTATATATTTACGGTAGTAAATTTACAGAATATCTTCATGGAACATGATCTTTGCTTAATATCCTAATGATTTTTGGCATAAAAGAAAAATCTATAATTTTGACCCATACAATGTATTGTTGGCTATTGCTACAAATATACCCCAGCGACTTAAGACTGCTTTTGTGCTCCAGGGTCACATCTGACAAGAAGGCACCTTTCGAAAGTCAATGAGACTTCAGCTCATTCTCCAGTCTTTCACACATGGCAGATGCAGTTCTTGAAACACACGTTTATTAATATTTCTGATCTCTTGACTGCTGAAGATCTACAGCTGTGACTGAGTGAGCAAGAACTACAAATCCCATGAGCACTTGAGAGAGAGAGAGAGAGAGAGAGAGAGAGATGGCAGAGCGAAGCCATGCATGCAGACAGAGAGACAGTGAGCCGCGCCAGCGTCCTGAACGGAGAGAAAATCACAAACAAACATGTTTCTACAACTACACACGTTTAGCAGAGATCAATCAGTGTATTTACAGTATTTGGCCGTTGTGATATCGCTGACATTGTTCAATAGTCACACACAAAAAAGTATTAGTTCTAAAGCTGCACAACTTGTTTAGATTATTTATTATTACTTATTTATTTTGACTAATACTTTGATCTAACAGCAATATGATCAACTTTTAACATTTCGTATTGCTGATGTTTAAATACCAGTGATTAAAAAACAGCAAAAAAAAACACACAGAAAAAAGTAAATCGGTCCAAGAGCTCATGTTCAAAAAAGTTAGTATTTTTAGGTATATTTGTAGCAGCCAAACATCATTTGAACTAAAGCATTTTTGAATGCTTATATTATGAATGTAAAGGGAATCTGTTCTTCGTTCACATTAAAGTACACAGCAAATGTACAAACTACGAGTTAATTGAATTCAGGGTTCCTTAGGTTTTATAAGGTTAAATCTAAGTCTTTTTGAGACCAATTAAAGAAAAAGAAAAAAAGAAATGGAAGGAGGCATGAAGAAATTTATCAAAATAAAGTGAGTTTATTATTAAAACAAGAACAAATATCTGTCAATGAGGTCAGAAAAATCTACTTAATTCAAAGGGAAAACACGTTTAAGCATAAACACTTAATTTTGCTAAATGTCTTATAAAACAAGACTTCATATGTTCATTTTGCATTTCAAGTAGATGTATTTTTATTTATGGATGTTTAGATATTTGTACTAGAAAACAACTTAAAATACCAAGGAAGATTTTCATTTAATGCCACGACTTTCGGCTCCGATTTAAGATCTTTTTAAGGCATTCATTTGTGATTGAAGACTTTTTAGGATCTTTAAAGATCCAGAGACCCTCTAATTGTGCATCGTCAAAGCATGTCTGTGGATCATAAAATTAAAATTAAAATAAAAAATAAAAAAGCATCTTCTGTTAATATCAAAAACATTGTGTAAAATAAGCATTCAATTAATTTTGTGTTTTTTTGACTACTTAATGCTACCATTAATTTGTACCGTTATCAGCCACTGGCTGATTAGATATCAGTATTAGCAAAAGAAAACTCATGCTGGTTGACTATAAAGGTTTGCTACGTGCTATTTCTGTTTTTTTTTTTTTTTTAATCTGCTAAAAACTTTATTCAGTCAGGAGTAAAATAGTACATACACATGGACTAAGAGCCATTAAACTCCATTCTTTTAGTCCTAAAAAAGTGAATTTTAAAACATTTTGGAAATTGCTCACCTTGGCTAAATTTATTTATTTATTTATTTATACTAGTTAATGTAGTTAATCTTTTTTTTTTCTAATTTTTAACTATTATTTCATTAAACAGTCTGAATCTAATTGGCAATGACTGTTCAGCCAAATAATAGTTCCTCTGATTAGGGAAAT